TTAATTTTATTTCTGTTAATTATTTTACCCTGAAGAAGTGGCTTAAGTCAGATCACAAAACATCAGGAACAAAGTGTTCTACTCACCGGCATATAACAAAGGGTATATCTATTGCTGAAGATTCTCGTATTGACATCTAAACATAGTGTGACAGTGACAGTTTTAGAAGGAGAAGTTACAGAGAAGCGCGAGTCTGAGACACTGCGTTTGATGGAAGGTGGTAAGTCCATAAAAACAAGAATGGGTATCACGTCATGTTGAACTAACTGACAACATCAATCAGTTCCAGGTGAGTCTACTGAACAGTGAAGGGTATTTACCAATTCTTCAATATTTTGCTTTTTTTTACAATATGGAGAAGTTTCCGCAGACGAAGATATAGTTGTCAGAACCGGGAGCAATATCTTCAACAAAAAAAAGGACAGTGGTATTCTTTCTCGTTGAGTTAATTAACTGTTTTGATCGTAAACTACGCTTCAAAACTACTGTTTACACTTTAATTGCATCTACCCCAGTTAAAGTGATATTGTATTGAGTTTTTCGATTTTGCTTCTGTGCATTTATTGCATCGAAGCATACTTGGTCGACTTTTACTTGGTTTATTTAGTTAAAGTTTGAAAATCCCTTTACATATCCTGTTTTTTATCACCGTTCTAGTTGATTTTCACGATGGCTAAGTCTACTCATAAATGTGGACAACCATGCTGCTTATTTCCCGCGGATGAAGGGATGCAATGTGATGAGTGTAATAAGTGGTTCCATAAGATGTGCACCCGACTAAGCCCCACTACATATAAAAGGCGTTCAAAGTCCAACCCTCATTGGTTTTGTAGTTTTTGTTGCTTAAGCAAAGCATTGCTTATCCAGGAAGCAATTAGTCTCCTGGTGTTTGCTAATAAGAAGGTTGATGAAGACTGTACTGATAACATTGGTACTGATGGCGAAGATTGCGTTAGTGTCGTAAGTGCTATCACGGCGCAAGCCAGACATCTACCTGTTCAACCCGCAGTTTAACGTTCTCCCCCGAAACGTTCAGTGAGTGACACGTCATTAGACGTTGGTGGCCATATTGCTACAGCAGCAACCGGTGACCCAGATAAAACAATTACTGTCCCGAGTTGTTCTAATGTAGACGTTTCGACTGATGGAAAATGGATGACGCAAAAACGAAGAAGAGTAGGAAAGATAGCTAAAACTAATGACTGTTTACTTGGTAAGTCCTTGGTCGACTCTCAGGCCAATCCGCTAAAGTCCCATAGTAAAGCTTCGTCTGACATTGTTGTGAGTCATTCGCTTGACTCCCAGGACTCTGTTAAAATAAAAACTAATCGTAAGATACCAGTAGTTAAAAATACAGGATCTAACGTCACGGTCGAAAGCTGTGAACACAGTTTCAAAAGAAGCCAAGCCCCTCCCTAGTTTAATTATTGGGAATCTAGAGGAGTCGAAAGACAACGACCTTGCTAGAAGACATGCACATGACCTGCAATTAGTGGAGTCTGTGGTAAGGAATGTACTACCTGAAGAGGTTTCAGGAGTACATATTACAAAAGTTATACGACTTGGTAAATGGGTTGGAGGCGAGACCCAACCAAGAAGAATCCTGAAGATGGTTCTCGGGAGTTTTGATGAAAGAAACATATTATTGAAAAGCGCACTAAAAACTCGTGCCTCAAATATCCGTATTCGACCAGATTGGGCACTTGAGGATCGAATGAAGTGGAAGAATGTTCTTACGGAGTTGAAGACTCGCAAATTAAATGGCGAAAATAACCTTATCATCAAGGGTTTTCGGGTAGTCAGGTCTTGAAAGTCAATGCTTCCGAGGCTTGTATGGGTAGAACGATTGATTGCCAAAACACCTTAAGTGTGTGCTACACGAACGCTTGTAGTCTTAGAAACAAAACGTCCGACCTAAGTCTGATGGTGCAAGTACTATGTCCCGATATAATCATTGTTACAGAAACTTGGTTCACCGTTGATATAGACTGTCCTCCTTTCATTGCTGGTTATATCTGTATCCGAAGTGATAGAGTTTCAAGTCGCAAAGGGGGAGGTGTAATATTATACGTTAGAGATCACTTTCGTACACAATCAACCATATCGGAGGCTCATATCAGTGGCACATGTGAGGTTGCATGTTGTAAGATTAAATCTAGAAATGGGTTAGTGACTATATGAGGAATATACCGTAGTCTTTTTTGTCTTGCTGACGACTTTATCCTAAGACACACCTGTTCTTGGAGTATGGCAGAATGTTGTCTCATCATTGGGGACTTCAACGCACCGCATATCAACTGGATAGAGCTTACAGCTCCAGGTAGTGGTTTCGATAACAACCTTTTATCTACCGTTATTCGGTGTGCACTTGTACAATGTATCACAAAACCGACACATATTGATTTGCAACATGATCCGTCACTGCTGGACCTCGCCCTCACCCACCACTCTGAGCATGTCCTTGATATCCAGCACCTTCCTCCACTAGTGAACAGTGATCACGTTGTAATTCACTTTAAGTTTAGGACACATGGTATACAATTCGTATCTGCTCCACCCCGTCCCAATATCTGGCAAGCTAATATTCCGGAAATCAGAAACTGTGCTATCTCGACTGATAGATCAGTCGACGCGGATGGATTGATCGAAGATGAATGGGATAAGTTTAAGGCTACATTCGAGTCCGTAACGTCGCCGTTTATCCCATGGTCAGCACGCAAGCTATCTCATTGCCCTCCATGGATTAATAAAAAAACCCGGAAGCTGTCAAAGCGTGGGAAACATTTCTGGGACTTATTCTTGTTGACAGGCCATGCACCATTTAAGCGTGAGTACCAAAAATACCGTAATATCTGTAAGAAAACCATAGCCAAATTTCGTACCACTTACGAACGACAGTTAGTATATGATAGCCGTACTTGTCCGAAACGATTGTTTTCGTATGTTAAACGGGATATGAAATGTAGTGATAGTATTCCCCCGTTACTGTTACACGAAAATTCAGAATTACTAGCTGAATCAGATCGAGCAAAAGCTGAGACTTTTTCAAACTACTTTAGCGAAGTCTTCTCTACGTTTATTGTAACAAATACTTGTCCCACTCACACCGAGATACCAACCATTGAATCTGTACAGGTGACTGAGAAAACTGTCCTTCCGTTGATAACTAACCTCAAACCTGGTAAGATACCGGGCCCTGACGTGTTACATTCACGGTCGCTGTCATCTCTTGCGGACATTATTTCAAAACCACTTGTGACACTCTTCAACATGTCCCTCTCACTCGCTCAACTCCCTAGAGATTGGAAGGACGCTATAGTTAGTCCTATATTTAAGGACGGTCAGCGACAGATAGCATCTAACTACCGGCCTGTCAGTCTGACTAACATGGTCGTTAAGTTACTCGAAAAGATAATTCGGGTTAGGTTGCTAAGCCACATAGATTTACACAATCTGTTAGCCCCTGAGCAACACGGATTTCGTAACAAGCGTTCATGCTTGACTAACTTGTTTATTGCGAGGGAGGATTGGACAGCAGCCCTAGATAACGGTCTGTCTGTCGATGTGATATTCATAGATTTTAGCAAAGCGTTTGACAAGGTTTCACACGTAGGTCTTATGCAGAAGCTCACGAGCTTCGGAATAATAGCTACTGTACATGAGTGGATAGGAAATTTCTTATGTGACCGCAGACAGAGATTTAGGGTCAACGGAATGCTATCCGATTGGAAGCCGGCCAAAAGTGGTGTACCCCAAGTCACCATCTTAGGTCCTCTGCTCTTCCTTCTCTACGCTAATGATTTACTGTTACTTAGGTCGTCGACATTATTGTTTGCGGATGATGTGAAAATCTGTAGAACAATAAAAAGTGAGGCTGATCACCTGGATCTTCAAGCTGACTTAGATGATTAAGTTAGATGGGCTCGAGAGTGGGGCTTAGAAATCAATGCTAGGAAGAGTTTACTAATGCACATCGGTCACGGTAATAGTTACCGTTACACTGATGAGGGTAAACCTCTTCCATGCGTTCAAGAGCATAAAGACTTAGGAGTAATATTATGTCATGATTTAAAAACAACTACGCATTGCAAAGCAGCCGCTGTCAAAGGTTTTCGTGCGTTATGGTCACTTCGCCGAGCGTTCAAATCTTTTGACGAGGAAATGTTTAGAATTTTATATCCCATATATGTTAGACCACATTTAGAGTACTGTATCCAAGCAGCTAGCCCGCGTGTCTGGTAAAGGATACTAACTCCCTTGAGCGTGTCCAGCGTGTGGGAACGAAATTAGTGAAGGGTCTTTCTAGACTCCCTTACGATGAGCGTTTAAAACGCCTAAATCTTTTCCACTTGTCGCATCGTAGGACACGAGGTGACCTTACACTGGCATTTCGTATCTTTAATTATGATTTGGGTGTTAATATGTTTTATCTTTTTGCTCCCTCCAGCACTAATAATCTCTGAGGTCATAGCAAGAAGGTTTATAAACCACGATCTAATAAACTTAAAGTGAGATCCCGTTTTTCTCATCGAGTAGTCAATGATTGGAACGCCTTACCCGAACAAGTGGTATCAGCCCCATCAGTGAATACTTTCAAGGAAAAGCTAGACCTTCACTGGAAAGCAATGTGTCAGGATTAACACAGATTCATCAACCTACTATCCTTATTACTGAAGACTGAAGACAATCATGGCTTCTCATCGACCTTTCTGTTTTCTTAATGTTAAAAACAGTTTTAAACGAAACAAATCCATTGTGTCAAAAAAAAGATTATAAGCTGTTTGTGTTAAGAAAAAATAGCTTTTGATTTTGTGACTTCATATTTGTTCGTCTCATTCTTGTTTTCTCTTTGCCATTTGATGGCGGGTGACTCGACTGATCAAGGTCAGGTTGATGCACAGCTGGTTCAGGAGGTTGAGTGTCTGAAAAGAAAGCTTGAGGACGAGCGCAATAAGCTTTCTGATGAAGACCGTTAGTTATTTAAAAATTTTATTCTGTAGTTGTCACAGCTAGTCAACACTTAGATGCAGTGCCATCTTTAAACATTCGATTACGACGAGTACTTAAAGGTCATCAGGGTAAAGTATTGAGTCTCTCGTGGTCTTTAGATAAACGGCACATAGTAAGCTCTTCACAGGTAATGTTTGTATTCTTTCTATAATTGCTTAGGATGGGAAAATTCTAGTTTGGGATGGTTTCACTACATCTAAAGTATTGGTCATATCGAGATTTTTTAATGGTTCGAAATTTGTAGGAATACTCTATATCAATGCCTACCACCTGGTTAATGTCTTGTGCATACAGTCCTTCCGGAGGCTTCATTGCCTGTGGGTTAGTTAAAGTTGTTATCTTAGCCAGGTACTAATCTGTATTTTTTTTTAGCGGGCTTGACAATAAATGCACTGTTTACCCACTTCTTTCGGAGGAGGACCCCATCCTTAAGAAAAAGCTCGTAGCAACGCATACTTCGTACTTATCATGCTGTTTATTCAACATATCTGATCACCAGCTGCTTACAGGGAGTGGAGACAGTTCATGTGTGTTATGGGATGTTGAATATGCACAAATAATACAAAGTTTCTATGGTCATTCTGCGGACGTGCTGAGCATTGCACTATCACCATCAGAATTCGGAAGAACATTTGTTTCTGGGGTAGGCGATTGTTTCTTCTTGTTCATAATTCTCTAGGGATGTGACAGATGTGCTAACGTTTGGGATATGCGCACAGGACAGTGTGTTCAGGTATTCCAAGGTCATGACTCTGATGTCAACAGTGTCAGGTTTTTCCCTAGCGGTGATGCGTTTGCCACAGGCTCAGATGATGCAACCATTAGATTATTTGATCTGCGCGCTGACCGTGAAGTTTGTGTGTACAAAAAGGATAGTGTCATTTTCCCATGCAATGCAGTTGACTTCTCTCTAAGTGGTGAGTTCAGATTTGCATAAAATTTTGTGCGAACACCTCCAGTCACTACTTTGTAAATAAGAACAATTGGGGTGAATGATGTAATCTGATATATATATATATATATATATATATATATATATATATATATATATATATATAATGCACGCTGGTTGGTTTTGGAAAAAAATATTTGCTCAAAGTTTGACTGTAAGACCTTAATGGAGTTAACAACTGTTGTCATATGTAAGAAGCCAGATATATAAAGAAAAGACATGACCATGTTTTATTCATGACACTGGCTAGTTTGTCATCGAGCTTTGTCATCTATTTCCCTCACCCCCTATGTCCTGATATAGGATTAAACTAACCATATTAGTCGATCAGTCATTATCAACATACAAAGTGGCATAATTGTGTCTTGGTTCACGTTGCTGCAAAAAGTTGCTGTACTATAGACCATAAGTTTTATAAAACTGTTTGAAACGCCAACTATTGAAATCTGGCTCCCCATATTACTCCTAAACTGAGCAATTTTAAAACTTTATTTTACGCTTTATACGTTTTTAAAACGCATTTTACTGTTAATAAGAAAAAACCAGCATTTTTTGAATATTAGCAAAAAAGGACTACAAATTTCATTGGTAGGTAAATGGAACTTCTAATTAGCTAAATAGTGTTTGTTCCAGATCACTTTCGACCTTAGATTCGCTAGTCCGATCCTTGCTGTACTTCGTTTTTCACCGCTAGCATTCTTAACACATACAAAATATTAAATTTTTAGAGACAGCATTCATTAATCTCTCGCGGTGCTTCAGGTACAAAGATTTAAGTTCATTTAGTGTTCATTCAGTTCGACATATTCATGTATTATGTTGGTTTGGCACAGTTCTCCTAACGATTAAATAAATAGTGACTTCAAATGTTTGTTCATGTAATGTAATTAAGCAAGAGTAATCATTCATTAGCGCTATAACAACATTTATTTTGTGTATCGGAATTACGTGGTTATGAACACTATCACTTGACTGCGATGTTCCATAGAAAAATTCATATCAGGTTTCTGAACTCTATCATAGTATGACTAGGATACTTGGCACTCACTTTACTGATTATAATACTCCATATTTTTTTCGAGAAAGTTTAAGGAAAGAGAATTATCTAAGGTTTTTTTTGAATGCTGGTTATTGTGGGACCTCTAAAAATGTCAAGAAATTTCGATCCATACTCTATATGGTTAAATACCGATCAAAATATCTTAGTTACATGGTCTTTCTATATGGTCCTTGAAAAGTTTGGACTCATTTTCCTCCTTTTTGATGCTTTTTATTTATATTTATGACTTGGTTTCTGTGGTTGACATTTTTATGCTCTGCATCAGTGTATAGTTGTCACTATACATGTCATAATCTCGTATACCTTTCTTCCTATTTTGTCAATATCTAAAAATGTTTTATATCCTAGTTAAAAATTTAAAATGCTTAGGTGTTACATACCCAAACTCATGTACTTGAGCCCCCTTGCGTAGTTTGACTATAAGTGGTGATAGTTAACATGTAGATTACTTAAAGTACATGTGTGCTTGCACCAGTCCTACTTATGATAAATACAATCAGTAACGAGATGATTTCGATGTGTTAGCTGAGGGAAAAAGTCAAACTCCCTCAGTTTCAGTGCGTGGAAATTTGTACTTTTAAAGATGTAGTTGGGTTATTTTCTTACCCTAAGTAGGAAGAGTTTATGGTTTATTGCAACTTGATCATCAATATGAAGCGATCTCACTCCCCACGGTATGGTTTCTAAAAGGAAGGAATTGAGCTACAAAATATCTAGATAAGTTTCTTTATAACCTCCGAAGTGAACTTGCTAACTCAATAAAAGTTATATGTATTAAAGTCTGGTAAAGTTTCTTAAGCAGTGTTTGATAAGTCCCGCTATCGATACGCCTAACAAATTCTGGTCGAGAACTTATTTTTTCTTAGTTTATGGTATTTGACTAAGTCTAACACGGAATCACAGTTTTATCGTTCACAATAATATCGTCAACTACTTTCGTACTGAAAGCGTTCAAATACTTTCAGACTTTTAAAAATTATTTTTTTTAAAATTTTTCATCTAGTAATTTCATCATAGTTTCAAATATTCTAAGTCTCCTATATCTCTTTTTGATATATATTCAAACCGTTGTGCTAATCTGCACACCTCGTTAACTATATTGACTTGAATTCGTACATTGTGATTGATTTTGAAACCTGACTGACGCCTTCCACTGATGTTTTACGACAAACTTGCCTGAGATATTTGTTATGACACTTATAGCCTTTTGCTCTCAGTTGCATAATTTTCAGCTATACTATTTGGTTTTGCTTTATGGTTCATACTTTATGAATTAGGTTCGTGTGTACACCTATTCTTATAGTGTGTTCTTTCCATATAATTGTAATGCTTATAAATAAATAAATGTCTTGCCAATTGCCAGAAATAAGCGCTGAAAATCTTTAGAAATTCGAGAATAACATACTATGTTTAGCTATTTGAATACCATGTCAATGAACTCGTGCAAGTAGTCAGTCACTTTGATTTTTGTTTCAGGTCGCCTATTGTTTGGTGGTTATAGTGATCATGCCGTGAATATCTGGGATGTACTCAAAGGTCAACGTATTAGTATTCTCTATTGTCATGAAAATCGTATTTCAGCCTTACGTGTCAGCCCAGATGGAACAGCTATATGTACTGGGAGTTGGGACACAACTTTACGGGTGATTACTTTTTTAAATTTTCTTCTACGTATACTGTCGTTTAAAATAGCTGAAAAATGAGTTTTTGCGGGACTTCTGCTTTGTAACTCATGTCTTCTACCTTCAACTCTTAATCCGTCGATTCAGTGTGCTATAATTTTTACTTAGCAACCAGATGTTCGAATCAAAAATGCTACAACTCGCTAGCTAATATTTCGGCTGAACTACTGTCACTTGCGCTTGTTTCCTCTGATCTAATGTTTAATTACAGGATATGACTTGTGGATGAGCTCCGTCTAGAAAATCTGCTCCTACAGACATGGTTCATATTAGCTTCGCATCATGGTTCTTGATTTAATGTTGACATTGGATGTTGCCGAAATACAACTTGTCGAGTGTAAACAAACGTTTTACATCTATCAATCATAAGTGGTACGACTCACAATCACAACAAGAATAATGATCATTCCTATACTTATGCGTTTGGTGGAGTAATTGATGTATGTTGTCTATCATCTCGTAAGTATCGAACAATCCTCTGGTAATTAGGGAGTAATAATGAATAATATTATCCTTGTACATCTTGCAGTTGACTGGTTTATACATTAGATCCTCTTTGGGCACAGTCATATTACGACAAGTTATACCTAAGTGTAATTATTCCCAAAAACATTATGTATTTGAACTAAGGGGTCGCCTTTAGGTTTATAAATATTACCGATATGTTTTTCAGTTATCAATTGAAATATAATGTTAATAATAACGAATCGGGACTTCAAATTTACGACAATGTTTTTTTTTAAATATGATACTTGATACCGCGTGTTGAAATGCAACTAAGTTGACTTCTTTAAATATCACTCAGTTTTATTTGTTTTGTGCCATTTTGGTAGAACAGATATTTTATAGAGTTATTGTTCCGTAGAGTTAGAATAATATACATACAGGGTATATAGTTGGTCCATAAGAATAGGTTCGTGTCTAATTCAATAATGAAGTGTTAAAAGTAGAATAGGCGATATAAAAATTGAATGTAAATGTTGGTTTAGAAGCTACAATTTAAAGTATATTCTCGATAATGAGGTACGGAATAAGCATGACAATACTATTCGAAAATGCAATCCTAAAATACATTAATATTCACCTTGAAGATGAAGAACGGGCTACTTCAGATTTCTTAACCATATATCATAAGTTTGAGTCTTTTATTGTCTGAATAATCCTTTTGCACTTTTTGTTCATAACAAATACTTTAAACACTGATTAGTTATTAGCAATCGAAAATGCCAACAAACTGTAATAATAGATTTGTGAAGAGACAAATTACGAAGATGAAGTAAGACTATATTTCACTCAGTGTTATATTCCTTATTTTGTAATGTTTGCTTTCGTTCTGTCTGATGAATTCGTCCACACTTACTGTTATTGGAATAATATATCAATGTTGGCGCATAATTGTCGATTCACATTGTATTAACCTCATTTTTCTATGTAAGTTATTATTTAAAAAATTGAACATTCCATCCACAATATTCATATATAATTTAGATTATGAACCACACCTTCTATAGGTTATAAGGGAGTTAACATTAATCTTTGAATAAACTGTGCGTAAGCTTAAAATAATTTAAGTATTCGCCTCTTTTTATTAATTGTCATATTAATACATCCCTAACGTTTAACTATAAATCCATATTTTACAGATTTGGGCGTAAAAAATTCTTTGTTTATTTTACGGGAAAAATTTTTATGAATACATAAACTCGTTTTATAATATACATTCGTGTTACCTGACATTTTAAAATATTGACTTACTTTATTCTTGCATTTATTAGAGTAAACAAGAATCTTTATTTATTTCACATATTTTCCTCTTATTATTTGTTCACATTTTTAAAACTCTCTACATGTGATAATTAACTTATTTTATGCGTGTTATTTCTTCTGTATATATATTTTATTTAACTTTATTATCATTATTATTATTACTACTACCAGTTCTCTGTGTTTATTGGATAGACTTACCATATTATGTAATGCATAAATTTGTTAAAAAGCAGCATGTTTTTTGTTTTGTGAAGATATACAATAATTACGAATAGTTGAAATTTGCTTTTTTGGAATGGGACATACAATAATTTGGGCGTCTATGTGTTAATTCACATAAAATATTTTATTCTTGTTTTTCTTGGTATCACGTTATTGTTTTAATGTATTTAATAATAATAATTGACGAACCATGTTTTACACATACTTTTCACAATTGATTGATCACTGAGTAGCGATCAACGTCATTCGTGTCTAGTCCTTATTAGTGCAGATCTAATGCTATCGATCATGTTACAGTGTGGCCACCATTCTAGGTGACTCGATACTGCGGGCACTATATATTGAGATTAGATTGTGGTTGGAGGTAGTCGACAGGAAACCCTGGATACGGGTTTCGTGCTACTTGGCTACTCGTCAGCAAAGTGTGCCTGTAATTTTGAGGGAACTGGTGCTCCCTGGCGGATTCGATCTTGTGTCATCCAGCTTCACAGTCAGAGACGTTACCACTGAGCTATCCGAGCGGCGACCGACCTCCTGTAGGACTGAGATGTAATCCCAATTGATTGATCACACATACTTTTGTTTAATTCATTATTTGTGGTTTTACTGTTTCAATGTTTTGTTTTAATTCTTGTTCAAAAATACGGTAAATATATCAATCATGACTATCAGAGATAGATTACTGAAACTATATTTTAGTTTCCCGTGGGAATGAATAGTGTAATAAATAAATGATTACCGAGTACTGTGGTAATATAAAAATATAGTATGGGAATATATGAATCCCCTTAAGAACTTATATTGATTGGTGTTATTTGTAATTTTAGCAAGTTAGTAATTCAACTACCAGTCGTACGATTCACTGTTATTTCATTTCTACTAAATTAAACTTGTAGTATCCTCTGACTGCAATTTCACTGAATCTTGACTTAACAGTCGACATATACTTTAGAGAATCAACAATTCGTTTTATCCTACTGCTTGCGACATTATATATATATATATATATATATATATATATATATATATATATATATATATATATATATATATATATATATAATTTATTTATTTCAACACAGATATTTGTACAAAGAGGCATCAAATACATATGCGCCACACAAATCCCATTCGATATGTGTGAGGGCTGTGATACTGCCCGGGTGCCCAAACCGAAACAGGTGGTTTTCTTAGGGGGCCACACCCAGAGCCTTCGACCTGAGCGTCTGATCCACAAGGCAGTGGAGCATCGTAAGGAGATGCAGTCCCATGGAAGCCGGTGACCAACAATTGGTTCATACGCCATTCGTTCCCGCAGGATACTGGAGCCCATGTGCACCATTGATCTGGAATCCGGTTAAAGCGCCGGACATTCGCTTTTCGTCCTCTCATTTTCGTAAACAACACCCCCGCCACGAGAAGGCAGTGGCTAGGACTTCCCTGGCAGAGGCTATATACGCGTGACCATGTGAGAGCATTTCGAGAGCGGAGCGGACTCTCCCCACTCTCGGCCGTACCAGGGCATTTGGGGGTATATATATATATATATATATATATATATATATATATATATATATATATATATATACTGATATCGATTTTTCTGCCAGTTATTTGGATAAAAATGTTTATTTTCTAAGATTTGACATATTAAAAAGCAGATGTCTATGAACAACTTGTTGATCATTAAAGTCTATTGTGAGACTATATTAAGGTTAGATTTGTCATAAACTGTCCTTAAATTCATTAAAGTAGTTATCAATTTTCGAAAATGGGATTTGATGCTGAGTATCCCAAAAGGCTCATCGTGTTGTAAGAGTTTCGGGAGCTGGCCGTATGTAGAATGAATAATTGTCTGTCTGGACACAAACGTTTTCGCAATATTCTGTAGATAGTAAAAGAACATTGTAGTTGATCATTCATTCTTGCTAAATCGGAATCACGCAACATGAGTTACTCCTTCGTCATATTTAGTTATTTCGGGTATTTCGATGACCATATGGAACGATAATAATCAATGTATTAGTAAGAATAGCTACAAGAGACAGACTGCGACAACTGTCGCGCAGGCCGGTCTGTGGTATGTGACTGGTTCATGCGTGTTGGTTGTCTCTGACCCGAACGAAGGTCATTAGGCTATCCGATTAACAATGATTTGGCTGCCATGGGTGATTTGATGGGCCGTGACATTTTACTGCCCCTACAAATGTAAGTCAAAAAAGTTATTAGTGACTTACTAAGTGGAGTGATGAGGAAGAAATCAGAATACCGATTAGCGTATTCCACATTTTTCTCAGACAGACGGCTCATTATTTGTTGAATCTAAATCCTGCATTTTGACTCAGATACCTGAAAAGCTGCAGATAATTTTGGTGTATTAGGATCCGTATACAAATCCCATCACGAAAACTGGTTTGGCTGCAACCTAAAAGTTTGAAGGACCTTTATTCACTTTATACACAAACCGTTGGTTTACTATTATCCAACTTAGTAAGTTTACCCTCCACTCGATATCAATTTTATGAAACTTTTAGTTGTGATCAGGTGTTCTGAAGTGATTTCGCTCTTAGCGTGAGCATTTCAGTTGTGAAAAGTTGTTCTGTCCTTAACGCTCAAAAACTACTCTGTGCTTCACTCTAAATCCTAAAACCTATTCTTATTCGGGTCAGTCTATGTCCAACCTCATCCAGCAACTTGGCTATAACTTTTATGTTAACGGTCGGATGGTTTTCTACAATGAAATGTAGTGAGATGAGTGAAAAGACTGAATATCGAACAGATCATCGATCTCTGTCAAGATCAAGGACAATCATTGCGCATTAGTTAATCGTATACTATGGACTGGCCTATGCTTTAGTTGTCCGATTATCTTCTCTGTACTCACTCTTGCAAGTACATTAATTTGGCCCATTGTACTTGATTTCACCAACTTTCAACATGGACACTTTACTTCACATTGTCTTCATTCCATTTTGCCACATCATTTTGTGTAATCTTGTACCCACGGTTAAAATAATTCATGTACATTGGTTGACAAAAGTTTTCGATTTTTGCAATATGAAATAATACTACGTGAATACTCACTGAGTATTTTACTTCAATTCGCCATTCGACGTATGAATAACCGAATGCCCATATGTATTGATGAAGAATAACCCGACAAGTAGTCAAGAAAAATTTATTGATTACGACTGATGCGAAAAGTACGGTGACCAACAGTCTAAGGGTATACTGTAGGGTCCATTTTCAATTTACTGTGAATATATGTGTAACAATACATCTATTCATGATTTTCCGTGTGATCATCACACTGTTCTTTCTTAAAATCTATTGTTTCCTGTATGTATACATATTTCTTTTCGCTTTTGCCTTGGCTGTGATTATTCTCATTTTTTTGTATATAATTTTCAAAGTGTAATTGGTTCTTGGTTGTCCTTTTGGTTTTTGGTCTAGGTTTCTGTTATATCTGAGCGAAAATAAATTACTTATAATCATTAGGGATTACTTATGAACTAATATTATACGTATATTCTTGTTGTATAAATTAAGTGACCATACAATTTGTGTATTTATATTCCTTTCATTATAAGCTATTATCTGACGTGATATTTACTGTTATAATTTACTATTCTCAAGCTATTCTCAAAATATTGGTCACAGTTTCTCGTAACAAATGCCACTTTTTGCTTGGTCTTGCCTATATGTTATTTTCTTTTTCATTGTGTCGTGTGGTCTGATTTTACGTATATGTAAATGAAGTGTTTAAAATATGTAATTCGTATCGCAGAGGCTGAGATCGGCATTCTGGACTTAACTGGTAGGACTGGTCGTACTGATGTATGCGTCGTTAGCTTGGTCGCATATGTACCTTAACTGACAATCGTATTTGGCGCTCGTCGTATAAACAAACGTACATGATAGCTTCACATTTGTTCCACTCGTAATTCTGAACTACTCACGTTGCCTAACTAAATTACTCCTTTTAATTGATTCTTTTCGATTAATTCATGATGTCATATATATTCAGTTTTTCAATGACAAGAAGGAATAATGTTTCGAATAGTAATGACCGAACTAGGACCTATTTACTTAGTGATATTTTAGCGATTTTAGGGTGAATAAACTGGCAATGTGATGTGATTAGCTTAATCTTATCACTTGTCAAGTTCTTATTATGTGTTCTTAATGTTTAGTCTCTAGTTTATAACTGAAAGTTTGTGGGTCAAAAATTGGTAACGCCTGATGGAAAAAAAGGTTTTCAAATGTATTCTGTCTCGTTTGAAATTATTCTCATCCATACATAACCACTAGTTAATACTCCCTTGTGTAGGTTTGGATTTTAATATAAAGCATTAAATGTTCACTACCACTTTTCACCACGCTTATCTAAGACGCACTTTAGACAATTCTTTGGTCCAGACCCAGCTACAGTACCACTATTTGGGACTTTACAGTTGCCGATTCTGCGATAATATAAGATGATGAATAGAGTATACTCTTCTTACACGTTGATTACGAACAATCTATACTATATCTTCTCATTCTGCTGAAGTAAGTGTATCAACTGAAGACAAAACAGACATTAAACATTATCACTAAGGGATCAATGATGTTAAAATCGTGAATTCATTGACAAGCTCTGAAAGCACCTTATTTCTGATGTGCC